AATCCTTATAAAAGTTTGCTCTAGATAACTTTTGAATTGTTCAATCGGTTACCTTAAGACTATTAATTCATCCAAAAGATACCTATTAGGTAAGTACTTACCTACTATTTCAAAAATAATAAACTGAGAATAAATATAAATAAAACGTAAAACTATGTAAAAAATCTTAAGTCCCCCGTGCGAAGCCGGGACGGGCCGCTAGTTATGTATATTTTAAAGCTGTGATCAGCCCTTGAAAAACAGATGCGTGATTGTCAAAGATACGCGTGACTTTCTAACATTGTGCTGCCAAATGTGGGAGTCATGACAAATCCTTGCTTAAGGGTAGTTTGGTAGGTAGCAAACTTTTTGCAGCAATACGGCTGATGATGTTATTCTTTTACTAACGTGAATATGTCCATGGCATATATTATCCTCTAATCTATTCCAAAGAGCTTACTCATTCCACACCTCTCTCATGTTACCCTTTTGGTACATAAGTCGAGACTAGTTTTGAGCACTTTGTAAAGATTCTACTTGAAATACCTACTATAGGCAGAATGCCTAGTGCTTATTAGTAGAGGGACTTTGTTCCTGTCCTGTTTGAAGGGAATGAACGGTAGGAATTTAAAATATAACAGCGTTGTCAGTAAAAGGGTAATGCAGCATGTCTTCACAAATGTCGTGAGTGTATAAACAAACACAGACATTTTATATATACAAGCTAAATTCTTGCAAAACTTGATAATGATCCCATAATTGTATGTCACATTTTGTCGAAATATGTACCTATGTGTTGTACTATTCTCTTTCAAATAGTTAAATTCAATGCATGCTCCTTGAACCCGCTGATTAGTAGAAAATGCCTACCGCTTAATGTCCACCCATGTGCTTGTTTAGTTGTTTGTGTGCATACAGATTTTTAAATAAAATAAATAAGTAATTGTTGGAAACGTAACTGGGAATACTTATTACAAAGTTATCTTGTCGGAAATCTCTATATCTCTTCACATACGGAGGTTACATTCTTAAAATTGTTTAGAATGTAACCTCCATCTCGATTAAATGTTGAACGTATCCATTGTCCAATACTGAAAAAGGGCCTCCCATTGATCACGGAAATTAACGACCACAGGGAATATTGCCTCAATCACACTTGACAGACGTATTGGGGATTGAAGTAAGTCGTTAATACATACCCATGTCAATGGTAATACTCTGACAGACCTTATTTTGTTTGTAATAAAAGCTATTTTTGTATACAAAGTTTTATTTATTTTATGCGACGCAAAGGACACCAGCTGTTGACTGTGCAAAGTCCATCTACTTGAGTAAAGTTCTAAGTAATAGTCGCGTTTTGTGAATAACGTCTGTATCCAAAGGTCTTTGGCTTTAAACTAATCTAATAAGTGACAGAACAAAGGATCACATACTAGGTATGTGAAGCAAATCTATTAAAAGATCTTCAAATATTAAAATTAGAAGAGGTTCCTGAAGTAAGTAAAGAATTAATTGACTTGAATTGCATTAATCGACTGCACGGTTGGTGCGGTGGCTGGGCAGCAGGATGCCGCGCAACGTGTCGCGGGTTCGATTCCCGCACGGAACAACTCTTTATGTGATCAACAAATTGTTGTTCCGGGTCTAGGTGTCAGGTGTATGTGAACTTGTAGATATGTTTGTAAACGCACCCACGACACAGTAAAATAATGCGGGGCAAAAACAATTGCCAATCACATTTTCTAATCGCACATATTTATGTACGGAATCGCGGTCGACCCTATATTCAGTTACATAATTGACAGATTGCTTTGTAAATAACGCGACTAATTGATAGCATAGTTTCGGGAGCACACAGCGCTGTTTGATCTACCGAAACTATGTCTACACATCGAAATCGGATTACGTAACTACTTAAAGCAATCTCCACGTCTAATGCTACAAAATTCCACAACTTAATACTAAGTACTTAAAATGTAATGTAAAATAACGTTGTAAATTCAAATTCACAACCCATTATTAGTGAAGGAAAATTAGAAGCTTAAGGCGCACCAAAGTTATTTGATTGGCGTCGTGATCGTGAAGAAAAAGGGAAGGTTCCAACTTTGAGGGCCCGCAACTTTTGCAAGCTTTGATTTATTGATCTGTCTCCCGGCGGAATTTGCGCTGTTTCCGTTTAAATGTTAGTTGGCACTATTTGTTTGTGTTAGATCGGCAGGCTGAGCTGTTGTCAACAAACTTGTTTGTACACGCCAATGATGTACGGGCAGGTCATTCATGCAACATGAATACTGCCTATACTGCCTGTATAATTAATTCAGCCACTATAAATCATACAATATCAACTGTAACCTGAGTGCTCCAGTTTTGTCAACGGAAAATCAACTTTCTTTACGTAATGAAACGACCTCGAGACAGTGGGTAACTTCGTAAAAAACAATTGAATACTCTTTGATAAAGTTACTTACTTTGCCAAAGAAGTGTTCGTCGATACCTACATGCTACCTTTGGTCTGAAGTTAATTCGTTTGTGCCTTACCTTCGAATTTAATCAAGATTTATTTCTAGTCTACGTGAGTTTATTTAATTTAAAGAAAAGGAGAATCTTTGTTCCTTTCAGTTGTTCAAGTTTCAAATACCTTTAAGGAAATATAATCATTTAAAAATGTTCATGTTTACAGCTCATGCTAATTAGTATTTGTTGTTTTATAACTATCATAAGATATGTCTTACGATATGATGATTTGTAGTTAATTTAGTATGCTGAATTAACTAAAATTCAGTATGCTGAATTAACTAAAAATAACGGTGTAAATCGAAATTGGTAGAGCTTTTCTCGATATACTAGTAGTAAAGTTTTCTTTTTTACATACAACTCACTTTTTTAACTCTAATGTATCTACTTTGTTCAACAATTCCTTTAGTCTGCAGCGTGCAATGAAAGAAAAACAGACTTGTATTTAATTATTCACTACTCTAAAAGATTACTGCTACATGCATCCTTTGTATGTACCACAATGATTTGTATCTCGTCTTCTCGTTACAGAACTAGAAGCTCGCTAACGTAAATAAATAAGAAGCTGGAATACTGTTAGGATTTACTATATATTATAATTTTATTTAATGGTCATAATGCCAAATGCATGCATAGTTTACCCATTTGTTTAGCATTTTAAAAAAGTATGCAATACGCTTGCAATATTTTAACTGTTCCATACTTCGTAATAGTTTTTTGTTACGGAAAAGGAAATTTCGAAAAAAGATACGAATGCTAGCTGTTTTTTTTTCAAGTTATATGGGCTTTGGTTTTGTATCGAAAAATATTTTTACCAAAGACAAGGTATTTTTCAAGCTCTATGAAGTAATTTGTTCTTTTGTTTTCATCTGAGGGGCATCATAACAACTCGGAATCCTTTAAATTATTTAACATTCTGACTACAGACTTTAGAGTCATGTTTAGCCATCGACACAGTTTTAATTTGCTTTGTTTCCTTCTATTTTTAACCAACTACAAAAAAGAGGTTCTCAAAAGAGAGAGGGTTGAAGTGTTGTTTTTTTTTTCATAACAGAATAATATTTTCTTAGTTTTTCTGACTCCTACTTATGTCAGCTCAACGCGATAGCTATATTTTTTCTGTAAAAGACCCATAAGCCAATGTAAGTCCCTTGAAACGGATCTCGGTACTGCAAGAAAGGAATTTATGCGGTGGCGGTACCCTGAATCTGGGGTAAATGTTATATTTTATTTATACACAAGTGAGGCTAGAATATTTCGTATTTTGCCTAGTAGTATATTGAAATAAACCTGATATGTAAGGCCTGTAAGGGCAATAGTCATTGATTGAATAGCCACAAGTGCAACTTCCAAGCAAGAAATCTCGAATTCAATTCCTGGAATAAACAACAGGATATTACGTGTCGGTTTTTCAAAAATTCTCGTAGTGTCTCATTTTTAATGTGCTCTCTGCTTACCCCTTCGAAAATTTGAAAGCGTGGCTTTTTGTGTTAGCTCTAATTAAATCTATAAATAATAATTACCACAGCCGTCTGCTTAAGTTTCTATTAAACCTAATACCACGTAAAAATTAATATTCTTATCCAAATTAATTTAAAAATGTCTACTCACACTGTGATTAATTATTTAGTGCCTGAAGTACCTACTTAATTTATCATTATACTTACAGTAACTACTTAGATACTAAGTAACATTTAAGTGATATTCAAATTCAATTATTAATTTTAAATCTTTAGACGTAGGTACTTAAATGTTTTAAATTCCGTTGAGATTTTTAATATAATATGAATGCCTATTAAGGACGCTCAATTGAATGTCGAAACGATTTTGAATTCTATTTGTGTTGAAATTAAGATCAAAAATGTTTTTGCAAATTGTCATGTAATGTGTAATCATTTGTGACTTTTTATCTTAAGGATTCAATTTTATTACAAAGGCGATAGAAGCCAAAATGGACTAACATTTATATAAATGTAAATTAATAAGTAAAATGTTTTACGTCTCATTTATACTATTTAAATGGGTCAATTTTCGTGTAAATCATAAAAAATATTATAAGAAATTATTATGTCTACGGAATAAATACTCTTTTTAGTATTTATCTGAAAAATCCATCTCTACTTATGCCACGAGGAACGAGTTTTACTTCTCTTGAAGTTTCTTACATAAATACATAGTACCTAGCTAGGTCGCTTCAATCTTATTTGTCTGGATTTGATAATTATAATGATGATATTATTTGATAGTCTGGACCATGATCTATTTTTAAATCAGATTACAAGACGCATTTGTTAATAAATATCATCAAATCTAGGTCTAACTTAAACATTTTAAAAAGTAATAAATCTGTAAAAATTTAGTCCAAATTAGAATTTGTATCATAAACATTTTTGTTGCAGGCAATCCCCGCAACAAATGTGCTCTCCAGCCTGGCCACAGTTTGATGGATTGGATCCGACTCGGCAACTCCGGGAAGGATCTAACGGGTGTCGGCGGGAGAATGCGACCAGTCACACCCGCTGAACTCTCCACACACAACACAACAAGTTAGTAAAATTCATTAATTTACTACTTTCAAACAACTAACTTAAAACACTTCACTCGTAAAATGCAAATAAACCACAAGATACACTCACACCCACAGAAACTCAACGTAATACGGGAAAAGGTTCTATTATTTATTCACAATTTAAGTAAACTCAAAGATTAGCATCTAAAAAGGATACAGAGACCTCGTATTCCCAATGGAGTGTAGGGATACGGAATATTTCCAAAGAAGATTACCCTCTAATGCGATACAATATGCAAATAAAAGTCAACGCTCCAATAAAATGTTTCATAAATTCTTTACACGAGCTGAATGTTGCAGACGATGCCTGGCTGGCGATACGCGGCCGCGTCTACAATATAACGCATTATCTACCGTACCACCCTGGAGGTAAGAATATCCCGCTACTACGTAATAATATATGAACCCTGTTCAAAGAAAACGTCTTACATTCTGTTTGTATCGCAGGGCCCGAGGAACTAATGCGAGGCGCCGGTATGGATGCCACACAACTCTTCGATAAAGTACACCCCTGGGTCAACTACGACTCTCTCCTCGCAAAATGTCTCGTAGGACCGCTTAGATTCGATCTCCCCGATGCAGAAGAACTCTTCGACACTTCAAACCCGTCACCTAAGTCCGACCGTCTCAGAGAACCGTCTAAAGCGCAAGAACTAGTTAGAAAGTCCATGGAGAACTTAGCAAATTGCATAACACCGGTTAGAAAGAAAATTACTAAAGGTGATGATAATTCTAAAGGGAGTCCACCTAGCAAGATTATGCAGAGCTTAGTCCAGTCCGCTGATTTACCCATGTCGATAAGTCGCAGAGCAGCCTCCAGTCCCGTGAAAAAAACGGACAAGAGTCCAGATTCACCTCTACCTCTCCGCCATGATTGGATTCAAACATCAACAAAACTAACGATATCCGTGTACACAGGACACCTGGCTAACCCGGGTGGCTGTGCCCGGATTACTGAAGGCTTTTTGTTGATTGAAGTTGCGACCAACGGCTGGTTGAGGACGCTTAAAATAAAGCCCGAAGCTAAATTAAAGGAACCTCTACAGCTGCGTGTGTTCGCTGAGAGCGGAAAAATTGAGGTGAGCTACAGAAATGATTAACAAACTTATTATTTTTTATGTATGTAACAGATTCTTAAATACATATTTCATGAGAAGGAAATTGTATCCGCAATCGTGTAGGTGTTCTGTTCCTAAAAATAACATGATTGTTAATGGTGTCTATTTTTGTAGATCACCGCACTCAAAGCGGAGCCGAGTGTTTGGAAGGGTTGTGGGGAGGTGACGCTGGGGGCGGCTAGCCGCGTCTCCTCGCCGCGGACCGTCGAGTGCCGGGTCATGGAGGTGAGCAGGGTGTCACACGACACCTCGCTACTGTCCGTGTGTCCCAGAGCTGGGCCAGTCGTCGTGCCATTAGGACATCATGTACGAGTGCACAGAAGAGTTGAAGGTAAGACTAAAATAAAATGAAATTAAAATAAATTATATTTTCCAAATTTTTATACAGATTTTCCCAGTCCTAGAAAATGTCCAGCTATTTCATTTACTCTAAAATACGAGCTTTACTCTCCAACTAGTTACATCAAGCGACACAACTAACTGGGTCTCCGGAGAGAAAAAATCGTATTACGCTCGATGGACGATTAACGAAATGAGGTTTTCGTGCTTATGCTTAAAATCCTGGAGAGCTCATCTCTCAACTAGAGCGTATCACTTCGTTACGACAACGTGGAATTATGAACGTGGCTCAACGTAATATCCATTACATAATTTGGAATTCAGGTAAAATTCGCGTAACACGTTGATGACATATTAATTTCGCGGGAAATGTAAGGATATTTATAAACCTGTTTATTGAAATATGCTCCCTATTGTAACGTGTGTGACAGGCAGACGGCTGTCTCGTGTGTCAGGGCAAGAGATGTTTTATGTATTCATAATATTCATGTTATTCAAATAAGTTCCTTTCATTTCATCCCTCATAGTGGAGCACATGTCGTCTTGATATTTTTAACGAGAAGCGAATCTTCTGTATGAAATATTAAGTTACTGCCTTTTAATATTATTATGTGGAAAAGATGAACGAGTTTAGTCCTTTACATGAACACATACATATATGTACGTGTGTCTGCAGAACACTCATACGCCTGAATAACACTATACTTAACTGTTTACAACTTTACATCCGTATACGTTTTTCTTTTCTTGTAGTTACTTTGATTTAGAGATAGCTTAATATAGGGCGTACCTAAACGCTTAGGTAACGTACACCTAGACTTAGACAATACTTAATTTAGAATACAAAGCCTAAAATCCTTCTCAGAGTTTAACAATTAATTTCTTATTCTTTGATCCAGTACACTTGGAATTTAGAACATCGAAACATGATCTGAAACAGAGAAATCAATCGTCTGTCTGGTATATTTTCTCTTGGCAACACCGACACGTTACGCTAACGTCACAGAATTCAATGGTAGCACTTATATTGGCTTTTGTTCTCTTTGATATCAATTGCTTTATTTGATACTGTAGTTGTTATAGAAATATACCTTTGGGACAGAAAATAACGGACTATTTATAGCTGCTTTGATTTGCAATATTTATGTTTTGCTAGGGTCATACCTACCTACCCGAATTAATCTTTTCTATGATACTTGAAAACATGATTTAACACTTTGAATGCAATGTAACAGTTAGTTTTAGTCAGTAAATTATTGCCATACACTGGGCACTATTTCAAAATTATTAACAGTTTTCCCTCTTGTAAATTTTTGCCAGCTACGTTTTTTCCGTAACCCGAGTTTACCCAAAAATAATTCCAATCTTCACTCAACTACCGAAAATTCGGCATTCTAAAATCTCACACAGGAAAATATAATCAAGGTCTCTTATTTGATTTTATAGAGGACCCCTAAACATGGAACATAGATTGAAAAACATTCCATAGTCTGTCCCTATATAGAATCGTAATTAATGAACCGTAGTACGTACTTCTACCTTCATTAGTGCTATCTGCAGCGGAACTTTATTAGTGAGGGAAGGTTCAAGTGCTTACTGCCTACCCACTTACGTAAACACAATAGAGTATGGAATATAGAGGTGGGTAGGTACTTGATATAGGAAAATGAAAATGCTATTTGAGAAAAGTCTTCGTCACTGTGTATTGTGTGGATGTGGACACATTTTTACGTACCGTGATCGAATTAATTAATGTATCGTCTATTTTTTGATCGTTATGTTAATTTTTAATTTTAATTATTATAGGGAGCGAGCCTACTATTATATAAATCTTATTTAACCCGTCGTGTGTCTAAACGTGGATCCACGCGAGACACAATGTATTTTCTATTGTGTCTCAAATCGGTGCATTCAAGCGGTTAAGGGACTAGCCTCTATATTACTCTTTTTTATGGGCCAAGCCCGCCACAACCTCCCAAAACCACTGCAACTCCTGTAAACCAAGATCTACAAGAGATACAACCATGAAAACACCGGAACACTAAAGTCCAGCGCGTCTCAGGGGCATGAATAACTGTATTGGATCCTGCAATGAAATAAATTAGAAGATATTATTAGTGAAGAAAAAACGACCTATATAAACTGGACTCTTATAAGTGTGGGTCGGAGAGCCATGCTTCGGCACGAACGGGCCGGCTCGATACCACGACCTCACAAAAGACCGACGTGAAACAACGCTTGCGTTGTGGTTCGTCGCGTGAGGTTACCGGAGGCTTAACTACCCCTCCCCCCTTTCCCAATCCCTGAGTCTCCAACAATCCTAAAATTCCTAATCCCACTTGTAACGCCTCTGGTGTTCCAGGTGTCTATGGGCGACGCCGATTGCCTACCATCAGGATAGAATGTAAATGTAAATGTTGAGAATGAACACTTTCCTATTATCACTTTTTTACAATTTTTCTATTTTTGCACCCCATTCGAGTTGGATCCTCACGTGTCGGGTCCTCGTGACATCCCATCTAGCCACTTTACTGTTACGACACTGGATGCTTAGAATATCTCATTTTATTCCGGTAACTGTTCAAACTTTGTTTGGTAGCAATAGCTAATTGTATGCCCAACACGTTGCCCAATTGTATATCCAATTCCAATCTATGACCTAATCGTTTCTTTAAATTCAGTTCGTAAAAAGTTATGTCATTCACACCTATCTCATTTCCATTAAAATAATGTAACTCCTCGTGAATTAATATTTATTTTAGTTTTCAAGTCGACTAAATTATGTACCTACGATTTCACTGATGTCCTCTATTCTTACTATCCGAATAGTCATCTGCTTTATAATTTTTAAGGCTGTTGGTACCTAAGTGAATGAATGAATGAATGAATGAATGAATGAATGAATGAATGAATGAATGAATGTCATTTATTTCCAAGTATATGGTACATTGAGGTTTTACATTAAATATTGTTTCACATACACTACCATTGCTGGTGTAGAAATATTATGTTAACCATGCTTTATAAAATAAAATAAAATAATAATAATAAAAAAAAAAACTAGTAATTACAATAATGCCAAGTAAATTGAATCACACATTATAAGAATTTGGTTGGTACATGTCATTAAATAGAAGTAACAAAATATTTCATAAAATGTTTAACTAAATGCTAAATACAATGTCAATATGTCAAAACGTAAATTGTCAAAATACTAAACTAAAATACTAAATACAATGTCAGTAAATGTAAAAAAAAAAAAAAAAAAATT